GAAGGGTGAGAATACAATAAAGATTTCCAGCAATTATTATCTGCTACATAAGAGAGAGGCTCTGCACCGGCTGCCCAGAAATCTAGGTGCCTCAAGCTCAGAGGGCTGTGTACCCTGGGAGGCCAGAGACCCTGGGGTACGGCCCTCGGATCATTCTCTTTGGGAAGGAGTCTGTGCTCGTAGCCAATAACATCCCACCTTCACTGATAACCAATTTCCTGCACAGAGCCAGCAGCTCATAACTTTTCGGATGAGCACCAGCTGATAAAAAGCTGTTGAGCAGGGACGCCTGGGTGGCTCAGTTGGTTGGGCAGCTGCCTTCGGCTCGGGTCATGATCCCAGCATCTTGGGATCGAGTCCCACATCGGGCTCCTTGCTCATCAGGGAGCCTGCTTCTCCCTCTGCCTCTGCCTGCCATTTTGTCTGCCTGTGCTTGCTCTCTCTCCCTCTCTCTCTGACAAATAATTAAATAAAATCTTAAAAAAAAAAAAAAAAGCTGTTGAGCAGAATCCCAGTTGATTTTATTTTCCTCTTGGCACTGTCGGCTAGAACGCCAGTGAGAAGGGAGCACAGGGAAATGGTTTCAATTAGCAAGATGAGCCTCGTGCCTGCTAGGATCACTTCTCAGAACACAGAGAACGGCCGTGGTCACAGGTTTTCTCTGAGGTAGGAAGAAACCAAAGGCTGGGGAAAACCAAAGGTTGTATGGCAATGTCAGACCGGAAGCTGAAGCCAATTACAGAGTCTTTACCCTCTGCGGTGGCCAGTCTCCAAGATGGCCCCGACGACTGGTGGCTCTGGGTATTTGCCAGGAGGTGTTCCTTTCCCTCGCCGAACAGGAATGGCCGTGTACCCAGAGGATGTTCCAGAAACGATGGGAGTCTGACCTCCGGGAAGCCGTACACAGCACCATCGCCTCTGCCTTGTGCTCTCTTGCATCTTCTGTTTTGAGGGACGCCAGCTGCCGTGTCATGAAGGTACTCAAGCAGCACTATGGAGGGTCCATGTGGCAAGGACCCGAGGCCTCCTGCCAACAGCCCATGTCACCTTGCCAGCCACATGGGTAAGGCACCTTGAAGCACCTCCTCCAGCCCCAGTCAAGCCTTCAAATATCACAGCTCCAGCCACCACCTTGACTGCCGCCTCACAACACTGCGCCAGAACCACTCAGCTAGCTGCGTTCACATCCCGACCACAGAAACGTGGTATCGGACCATTTATTGTTGTTTTATAGTACAACCTATGCTGTAATATATTTTGCGGCAAACAGATCAGTCATGCACCCTACCAAGTATACCATCCTCCCTACCTATATCTACAAGAAACCAAGGTCATATTAAAAAGTATTCATCATCATTGGTCATCAGGGAAATTCATATCAAAACCACATTGAGATATCAATTCTTACACCAGTTAGAATGGCCAAAATTAACAGGACAGGAAACAACAATTCTTAGAGAGGATGTGGAGAAAGGGGAACCCTCTTATACTGTTGGTGAAAATGCAAGTTGGTGCAGTCACTTTGGAAAACAGTGTGGAGAGTCCTTAAGAAATTAAAAATAGAGCTTCCCTATGACCCTGCAATTGCACTACTGGGTATTTACCCCAAAGATACAGATGTAGTGAAAAGAAGGGCCATCTGTACCCCAATGTTCATAGCAGCAATGGCCACGGTCGCCAAAAGGTGGAAAGAACCAAGATGCCCTTCAACGGATGAATGGATAAGGAAGATGTGGTCCATATACACTATGGAGTATGATGCCTCCATCAGAAAGGATGAATACCCAACTTTTGTATCAACATGGACGGGACTGGCGGAGATTATGGCGAGTGAAATAAGTCAAGCAGAGAGAGTCAATCATCATATGGTTTCACTTACGTGTGCAGCATAAGGAATAACACGGAGGACATGGGGAGATGGAGAGGAGAAGGGAGTTGGGGGATATTGGAGGGGGAGGTGAACCATGAGAGACTGTGGACTCTGAGAAACAAACAGAGAGTTTGGGAGAGGGTTGGGGGGATGGGTGAGCCTGGTGGTGGGTATTAAGGAGGGCACGTATTGCATGGAGCACTGGGTGTGGGGCATAAACAATGAATCTTGGAACACTGGAAAAATAAAGTAAAATTAAAATAAAAAAATAAATTAAAAAACCCGACTTCATCCCTGGTGGGAACCCTTGCCAGAATCTCTTAAGTAAACAATCTTCTCCTTGCTAGAGTATCAGTACCTCCTGATATCAATATCCCCTGCCTGGATATTCAGAGGCAGAAAACTGCCGTTCCCCTGTTCTTCTATATCATCTTCAACCATTGTAGTAAAGTAAACACACGCATACGCGTGCATATACAAACATTCGCACACACAGAGCTTTCTCTTAAACCTGAAAAATCACTCAAGCACTGGGAAGATGCACTTTTTTCCCAGGAAGGACTGGATGCGTGGAATGTTTTAGAGTACCATTTATTCACTCTGTCTCCGAATGGACAGATGGAGGGGGCAGTGTGGGAGGGTACAGCTGACTACTGAGAATTGATAGCTGTCTCTGTTCTCCTCTGCTAGTCATAAAATTCTGAGCTGTGTGAGGACCAACAGGAGAGGAAAGCCAATGCCACGGTGTCCATGCATTCCTGCATTCATTTAAATATTTCAGGATACAATTTTCCCCCTTACTCACTTTTACCCAACCTGTCTGTGTCCCCAGATGAGGAAGAGGGTCTTTAATATAAGGCAAAAATAGAGAATTTGCAAGCATCATAGTATGTCCATATTATGCTAGAGGCAGTCAAGACAGAGAAATATTTCCTTGCTGTGTATGTGTTCAACTACGAAGAACCTGGAAGATGTGAGGTTTCCTCTTTAGAGTTAGATTAAATACTGGGAGCTCCTTGCCCTCCAAGATGGGGGTCGGGAAGAGCGCTCAGAGCCTAGAAGGCAGGTAGCATTCTTCCAGGCTACAGGTGGCCATAAAGGCAGAGGCAAAGGGGAGAGAGAGCACTCAGAGTGGGGAATAAAGCATGGCCCAGAAGAAAGAAATCAGGCAGAGAAGGAACTCCGGAATGTTCACCAGAGTGGATCTGTATGGGCTGAAACCTGGCCTGGTGAGAAACATGTTTCCCCATCTTTTTAACTATGTGTTCATTTTTTTTTTCTGCCAAAGGCCTCTACCTGTCTGTCCTTCCAAGTGTTGAGTCACACCTGAAGGGTTGCATAAGCAGTGATATATTCTTGTCACTTGGCAAGTAGGACCACGGAGGTTCTGGGGAGAGTCAGGGCTGATCACAACCTCAGTCTGGGGAGGCAGTCTGGGGACACCTTCTTGTGTCTCACTTTCCCCTGTCCCTGGACGTCTTCTAGAACCAGGTCCTGCCTCTCTGCTCATCTTCATTTATGCAACTGCTCTTGATGGGCTCCTCCTCGCCTGTGATTTCACCCACCAGCTCTGATGGATAATAAATCTGGACGTCCAGCCCCAGCCTCTTGTCCATGATCTGCCCCTGCATGTAGCTGGGCAAAGACTTGCCTCCCTCTCTCAGTTGTCTGACCCTCACCTCACACTCAATGCACCCAACTCAGAATTCAACTCCACACAAAGACTTCTTTTCTCCATGATCTTATCCCTGCCATTCGGGAACCCTGGGATCATCTCAAGTCTTCTCTTCGCTCAGGGCCTAAAACCATTCTGCCAGTGAGGTCTGAGGTTTCTCCCTTCAACCCAACGTCTAATGACTCAGCCATGCGCACTGCCTCTACTCCATTCAAACCCATCGTGACAAGCCTGGAACACCCCTTTTGATCCTTTGTCACTTCCGGCCATATTTCAAAGTTTGAAGCAAGTACCTCCATTTCCCCAAGTCTTATCCAACCCCTCAAGATCACATCTGTCTACTTTCTGGGACTGCTATTCATTCTCCTCAAAAAAATAGTTATGGACGATCCATTGTGTACACTGTGTGAGGAGCTGAGGATGCCTACAAATGATCAGTCTAGGAACCGTCACACCAAGAATCACTTCTGTGTTTTTTCTCTCTTCAGAGTGTTTCCCTACCCAAGTTCTTAAATAGCCAGGGCTGTGTCTTCAATGTCTTTGTGAAAGCCACAGTGACAGACTGCAGGGCCCATAATGTGCTCTTACCGAGTGCTTATTGGTTATATGCAAGATGGTAGCAGAGTAAGACCAGAAATACATGTCAACTGCAATGTTTACCTAGATTAGAGAATTATCTTTGGCTAAGAAAAAAAAAAAACACATCAAGAAATTAAAGAAACCGCGCTGTATTGGAGTGGTGTTTTACATGCATAACCAACAATTCAATTTAACATGACAAAATATTCCACTCAAATTTTAAAACCAGTGGTTGATAACCCGTTTCCCAAATTCCATAGTCATGAACTGAGAGTCACATATTAAGACCAAAGAACTAATATAAAATTGATTCATAGCATCTTAATAATTTGAACGTAGATATTTGAAATGTCCCAAGAGATTTTACAAGACAGATATAGGAGGAAATCGAGCAACATCAAAAACAAATTCTTAGGTAAAACCATTCTGTTCTATTAAGGACTAGGGTATCGATAGGCTCTAAACACATGAGACAACCCGGCCATCCTTTCAGCAAAAGGATGTCTTGGAACCAGGGATAGAATAGGGCTTAGGCGATACCAATGGCATACCTTCTAAGGATCCCCAAGAAAGAAACATTTGTGACTCAGAAGTGGAGGAATATCATTTCCCCCAAATGTAAAACTATTTCTGGTATAAAGAAAAATTAGGGAGATAGTCTGCTCATCCAAACCTCAAATGAGTATAGTTTTGATACTTTGTTCAGAGAATCTAGTACGGACCTCCACTTAGACTTCCGGTTCAAGGAACGTATGTCACTCTAGCCCAGAAGAGATCATCACATGCTGAACAGAAGCTCAAGAATTCAGAGTCAAAAGTTAGTCCCAGGCACATGTCTACTGCCAAATTTAATTAAAAAAAAAAATTTGTACTCACCTGCCAGAATATGCTATCTATTGTGTTTCCAAGAAAACCATCGCGACCTTCTGAAGACACCAGTTTGGGGCCAAGAATTGTCATGAATTCATCAAAGTCCACCTGGCCATCCCCTGGAAGAAGAAAATACCAATGTTGAAATGTTGTTGAAACTGACCTGCTGCACCTGATGAAATAAACATCACCTCACTTTTCTTTATCCCATGACCTCAATGGGTGAAGAGCTGGTGGCATCAAAAAAAACTGCCCCACGTTCTTAAATACCACAAGGAACACAAGATACTGGCAATATCAGTACATCTAATACCACACATTCCGAGTTATTTGCCAGTATTTCCACATCTAAATGCCCAACCAGCACTCCCCCCCACCCGACTTAAATGGCCACCCCTCATACCTGCTGTACCTTTTGGACGCAAACCGCCTAGCAGTGCACGTGATGGACTCAAACCACCTAGCAGTACACGTGACAGAAAGTGCAGCTTTCCCCCACTCTTCCTTCCTCCTGTCACTCACACATACACTGAGACACCAAGTCCTTCATCTCTTCTATGCCTGTGCCTGCTCTACCCCCCTGGTCACTTCAATCTCCAGTCCCTTCTCGAAGACTGTGGTGGGAAAACGTCTGCAAGGATTAATGTACCTAGTGATAACTACAACATTACTAGCGGAGTGGCTGTCTGCTCTCACGCTCTGACCTTCACACTCTCTCCCACACAGAAGTTTGCCTCCCCAAAAGCATAGCTGATGATGCTTTATAAATGTCCATGGTGTCTTTGACCCCACATAAGGAAACCACTTCAAGATGGCATTCGAGTCCCACTATGTCCTTCACTGTCTTTTGCTCCCCACCTCTGAACAAAATGCCCTGCTTTTGCCAAACCTCATGCCCCTGTACATGCTGTTCCCTCCATCCAGGATGCCTTCCCCACTTGTCTACCTGATGAACACCATCTCGTTCTCTAAGATGGAACTTAAATACCGTGCTCTCTTTACGGTTTTTCTTTCTGACCCTCATCTCACTAGCCAGCGTTGTCTCTCCCTCTACCCTCACGTGCGTCTGTCATAGAACTTATCAGCTGTATCTCAGCCATGGGTCTGCATGCCTTTTCCACACCTGCACTGTGAGCTCTGCAAAGTCAGGGACCCAGTCTGAAACTTCTTTGTGCATCGTCCACAATGGCAGGCACTCAGCCTGTACTTACAGAATGAATGAATGATACCCCTTGCTTGTTTTCCCTTTGCTCAGCTCTGCATCTTATATCTGACACTAGATGAAAGTCTAGTGTCGGATCTATCTTAGATCTGACACTAAAAGTTGAACTTGAGCCAACTTGGATGAAAACAGACCTTCAGGGTACTGTCCAAGCCTCCATGACTCATCAGTGTGGCATTCTGCGCCCTTAGAACTGCTCTAGAGGGCGTCTCCACCAAGAGCGCACCACACGTTGGCCCAGCTGGTGCAGACAGCCCAGGTGTCTGCACACAGGTTTGCCAAAGTGCGCACACATCGATCGACTCCCAGAGGGCAACCGCCTTCAAACAGCCCTCATTCAAAACCTGCTTCAAAAAGCTGAGCAGATGTCATCATCAAGATGCCAATAATTTAGAAAAAGAAGTCCAGAAACATATTGCAGTATAGATTAAAAAAACCTGAGGGGGTAAGGGAGGAGTGGCAAATCAGTGGGAAAGGAAAGATTCAGCACCAAATGGGTTGGGCCATCACTGGGCTACTGAAGGGGACTGGTTTACCCCTCACCGTTCAACAGGATAGAGGATCTAAAAGATCACCCTCAAAATAAATAAATTAATGAATTAAATTCCACCTTCAAATATTAATTTATTAAATCCCATCCTCACCGGTCATCATGAGAAAGCTAATCAAGCAAAAGTGAGGTACCATCCTTCCTCTCAAATTAACAAATACTTCTAGAAAGAATGCTGCTCAATGTTTGTAGAAATATAGGGAAGAGATGGGCTCTCTTATGCCTTCCCGGTACACTTGTCCCAGATACCAATGGACAGTATTTAAGACGCTATAACATGCTGATTCCTTTTGACCTTATAACTTCACATTTTTAAGAAAAATACAAGGCAAGGGAACTCCCTTACATTTGCCCCCAAACAGTCATCCAGTCTCTGTGAAAGTGGGAAATTGGAAGGTGTAGGAAAAGGAGAAGGGCCCCGTCTTCCTGGCATTCACACTAAGCTAGCTCCATGGGGCTCTGAATCTCAGACAGACACACGCTTGTTAAACATTGGCACTGACCCTCAGCTCACCCCAAATCAGCCCGACTCATCTGGAGCTAGATGGCCAGCACTCTCAGCCTAGAGTACACATTCTCCATAGAAACAGTATCACCCTCAACGAGGTGAAAATGGATTCCTGGGAGACAGACAATCTTAGATATCACAATGGTTTGTGGCTCTCCTTTGGGCCACAGGACATAAACAGATATACAATATATCTGTGCTATTAAAATTTCACAGCGCAAGGCAACTAGGGAAACCAATTTCATAAAAGGCTCCTAGTGGTGAGGTAGCTCCAAAAAAGGAGGAGGAGGACGGAGGTCCAGAAACAGTGGGCAGGAACATGCCCCAAGTACTATGGATGCCCTTCTCTAGCCCTCCGCCCGGAATGTTGTTCTATAAAGCAGAGAGCATCATCCCAAATGTCTGTTACCCATGGCGACATCTAACAGTTCACAAAGGCGAGGAAGCTCAAGGGCATGGATCACATTCTATGATGTCCTAATGAGACCTTAACTAAAATCTATCCACCAAGCTGCATCACTTAAGCTCCCGGCTATAGTGTAGTGAGTAATGCTTTCTCTCATTTGGGGGTCTAAGGGGGAGATGGTCAAAGCCAGGAGAACAGGACTATCTTTGAACAGTCCACCTTCCAGGTAGGAGGAGAGAGGCCACCCACCTCTCTGAAATTCCCCCCAGGAGCACAGTGGTCTAGAACTGGTGTGTTTCCAGGGTCCACATGGAGCTGCTGTCAAAGTCACTGGGGACCGTTCACAGATGGGCCCTTGGCTGAGAACCCCAAACTGAAAGCTGACATGCAGAAATGATGGCCCCCATGAGGGGAGCAGCCCGCTCGCTCCTCAAATGCTTGGCCAGAGAGAAAGTTCTGGGCAAGGACTGCTCAGGGCCCTATCGCAAATGCCAACTACAGTCAGTGCACTGTACAGGCGTCTCACCACAGACTCAGCTGGCTGGAGAATTTGCTTCTTACTATTTCATAGAGGACTCAGGAACTTCAGACATTTTTGTAATCAAAATATGATCCCCCTAAAAGGGAGGAGGGGCAAGATGGTATTGGAGTAGGAGACTGAAATATCCTTAGGTCTCAGGAGTTCAGCCAATTAGTTATCAAACCATCCCAAACACCTACAAACCCAACAGGAGATGGAAGAGAACAAGAGCAGCGATTCCAGGAGCAGAAAAGCGACCACGTTCCAGCAGGCGGGACCGGCCACACGTGGGAGGATGGACTGTCGGGGAGGGGTGGCTCCTGGCTGGTGGCGGGGCCAGACTGTATAGGTGTTGCTCCACGGGGGGACGTCGCTGCAAGGGCCCTTGCGGGGACAGCGCAGCCTCAGGTCCCGCAGGATCACAGGATGGGGGTCTGAGGGTGGCAGAGCACGCAGGGACCGGAGCGGGGAAGCCAGCGGCAGAGACAGAGCCGAGGCAGGGCTCTCAGCTCGGGGTCCCCTTCACCCGGGACCGAGGCGCAGTCGGGCCACGGCTCTCCGTGCAGGGACCCCACACGTGGCGGATGTGGGAACACTCACCGTCCTTCTCCAGGAAGAGCGGGCAGGAGTATGTGACGGGAAGCTGCAGGGTTTGCAGACTCCAGACGGGGCCATGCCAGAGACAGAGACACTCGCTCGGTCACAGGCCAGGGAGCTTGGAGCATGGTGGAGACCAGGGACACAGAAAGGACAAACGGCTTTTCTCCGAGAGCACAATGAGGAGGGGGTCCTGAGCTCTCAGCTCCTGCAGGGCCAGAGACTGGGCGGCCGCCATTTTTATTCTCCTCCCAAGCTCTATGGAAAGCGCTCAGGGAACAAAAGCTCCCAGCGGGAACCAAAGCAGATGACTTAGCCGTGGATGGAATTCTGCCTCAGGCAAGTATTTTTGAGAATCACTGCAATGGGCCCCTCCCCGAGAAGATCAGCAAAAACACCCAGCCAAGACCACGTTCACCGATCAATGAGAACTAGGGGAATCCAGAGCTAGGGGAAAACAACACACAGAACTCATGGCTTTTCCCCCCATGATTCTTTCTTTCTAAGTTAAATTTTTAAAATTTTTTTCTTATTCTATTTTTAAAAATTTCTCGTTTCCTATTTTAACCTTTTTCTATTTTATCTTTTTAAAAATCTTTTTAAATTTTCACAGTTATAGTCATATTCTATCCATTCATTGTATTTAACCTTATTTTTGTATACATACAAGATTTTTTTTTTTATTTTGGGATACAATTTCTTCTAATAGATCAAAATATACCCTAAATCTAGTACATGGTTTTGGTCTAGTCTCCAGCCTGATCACATTCTTTCTTCTTTTTTTTTCTTTTTTCAACCAACGTATCTTATCAATTCCTTTTTTAGAATCTTTTTTCATTTTCATCTTTACAGTCATATTCCATCCCTTCATCGTATTTATCCTTATTTTTTTGTATTTATATAAGTTTTTCTTTCTTTAAAATTTTCGGAGGTAGTTTCTTCTAACAGACCAAAATACCCTCCGCCCCCCAAAATTAAGTCTGTGGCTCTCTTCTATTCACCAATCTAATATTTTCTTTTCCTTTTTCCACCCTTTCTTCTCCCCCTGGTTTTGGGTCTCTTCTGATTTGATTAGTGTACATTTTTCTGGGGTGGTTGCTACCCTTTAAGTATTTTGTTCTCTCACTCATCTATTTTTATCTGGATAAAATGAAAAGGCAGAAAAAGTCATCTAAAAAAAAAAAAAAAAAAAGAACAAGAGGCAGTACCAAAGCCTAAGGATCTAATCAATATGGACACTGGTAATATGTCAGAACCAGAGTTCAGAATGATGATTATCAAGGTGCTAGCTGGAGTCAAAAAAAGCATGGAAGATA